TCCACCGGGAATTGAACTCAGGACCTTGCATTTGCCAGGCAGGTGCCTGTTCTGCTGAGCTACATCCCTGGCCCTTCTGTATTCCTATTTTTAAACAAAAAAACCAACAAAGAAATATGAGAGTTGAGCCACACTTTTGGTTTAAGTTTTTGTTTTGTTTTTTTTTTTTTTTTTTTTTCGGCACCGGAAATCAAACTCACAACCTTGCACTTGCCAGGCAGGCGCTGTGCCGCTGAGCTAAATCCCCAGCCCCTATGTTGGTGGTTTCTTTTACCACCAACAAAAGCTTTTCAGTAAGATGAGATCCCAGTTGTTGATTCTTTGTGATAGTCCTGGTACAACTGGGTTTTGTTCATAAAGTCTCTGCCTACACCAATGTCTTTGGTTTTACCTGTTCTATCTTATAGCAGATTTAGTGTTTGTTTTAATATTTAGATCTTTGAGCTGTTTTGATTTTAGTTTAGTGTATGGTGAAAGATATGGGTCTAGATTTAATCTTTGGCATGTGGAAAGCAACTTTTTCTAGCAACATTTATTAAAGAGGGTATTTTTCTTTCATTGATGGTAGTTGGCTCCTTGGTCAAAGATAAGAAGGGTGAGTATGTTTGGAGTTATTTCTGCATCTTCTAATCTGTCCCACTGATCCTCGTGTCTTTTCTGGCCAGTACCACACTGTTTTTATCACAATAGCTTTGTAGCATAGTTTCCAAGCCAGGGATTGTGATGCCCCCTGCCTTGCCTTTGTTGCCCAGAACTGCTTTTGGTATTCTAGGTCTCTTTTGGTTCCAAATTAATTTTAGGACTATTTTCTGTAGTTTTGTGAGATATGGTATTGGTATTTTAATCGGGATTGCATTAAATCTGTAAAACAATATTGGAAACGTGGCCATTTTCACTATATTGGTTTTTCCTACCCAAGAAGAAAGGATCTCTTCCCACTTTCTGATATCCTCTTTGATCTCCTTTTTTCAGAGTACTATACTTTTCAATGTAAAGGTCTTTTTGAGGCAGTGTCTCACTATGTAATGCCAGCTAGCCTTGAACTCACTTTTGTAGCCCAAGCTGGCCTCACAGTGATCTTCCTGCCTCAGCCTCCCAAGTGCTGGGATTACAGTGTGCACCACCTGTTGGTAGGTTTTAAATTATATCTTCAATTTCATTGACTGATACTGGTTGATTTCACTCTTTTCATTCCTAACTGCAGGGAACTGAGTTTTTTCTCCTTTTTTTGGTAAGGTTGACTAAGGGTTTGTCAATTTTATTTATTCTTTCAAGGAACCAACTCTTCAAGTCATTGATTCTTTTTAATGTTTTCAAAGCCTCCATTGCATTAATTTCTGCTTTGACCTTTGTAATTTTGTCCCTCATATGAGCATTGGGCTTAATTTGTTCTTTTTCTAGAGGCTCAAGGTTCAACATGAGGTCATTTGAGCTCGCTGTTTTTTTTTTTGTTTGTTTGTTTGTTTTTTTGTTTTTTTGTTTTTTGGTTTTTCTCCGGTACCGGGAAGAGCTCGCTGTTTTTCTGATATGGGAATTCACTGCTATAAATTTCCCTGATAGGACTCTTTCTTTTTTTTTTTGTTTTTTTTCTGGTACGGGGAACTGAACTCACGACCTTGCGCTTGCCAGGCAGGCACTGTGCCACTGAGCTAAATCCCAAGCCCCAGGACTGCTTTCATGTGTCCCATAAGTTCTGGTATGTTATACTGCCATTGTTGTTCAGCTGTACAAACTAATTTCACTATGACCCACTGGTTATTCAGGAGGCAGTTAATTTCCATTTATAAAGTTCTTGTGGTTTCTTTTCCCACTGGTTTTCCATTTCACTGCATTTACTTAAGCATGGTCTGTGGGCTTTTGATTGGTGAGTGGAGACCATTTACATTGGTAGTTATAACTGATATTTATTGACTGATCCTTGTTATATTATTTTCCTGTTGTTGGTTTCCCCCTTTCCTCTGTTTAACTACTTGCCTTTCCTGGTGGATTCATTCTGTTGGGGTTCATGGAGCTGTAGTCCTCGTTATCTCCTTGTAGAATGTTCTTCAGAGTATTTTGGAGTACTGGTTTGGTGCTCATAAATTTCCTCAGGTATTCTTTGTCATGGAAGTATCTTATGTTTTCATCAATTTTGAAAGATGGACTTTTGGGCTATTTCAATCTGGGTGGAG